TTTTTTTTTTTTTTTTTTTTGCAGAGCAGGAGTCTCGCCTCTGTTGGCCCAGGGCCTGGGAGCGAGGTGGGCCGGCATCTGCGGCTCACTGCCAAGCTTCCGCCTCCGGGGTTCAAGCCCGTTCCTCCTGGCCTCAGGCCTCCCCCGAGCTAGGCTGCGGACTACAGGCACCCGCCTACCATGCCCGGCAATTTTTTTTTGTATTTTCAGTAGGCAACAGGGTTTCACCGTGTTAGCCAGGATGTCTTGATCTCCTGACCTCTTGATTCGGCCCGCCTCAGCCTCCCAAAGCTGCTTGGGATTACAGGCGTGAGCCACCCGTGGCCCAGCCATGATGGGGGGTTGTTAAGCAAATAGGGTAATTTTGTATATTCAGCACATTTACGATATTAAGGTAAAACCCATGTGTATTTTTCTTTTTTTCTTTTTCCTTTTCTGTTTTTTTTTTTTTTTTTTTTTTTTGTTTTTGTTTTGTGTTACATGTATCCATGTCTTTTGGCTTTTCTCATTCAGGGTGGTTTTGTGTGTTTTTCTGTTGTTGTTATTGTTTGGTTTGGTTTGGTTTTTATTCTCTCCTCATCTATGTTATCAAGGTTTTTTTTCTTGAACCTCCCTAATTTCTAACCCCCTGGACTTTTAAAGAAATCTAAAATCCAGCGAATCTTTGAGATAGTCTCTAGGAAGTTGGGAATCGTTTGCCTCTTCATCCTTTCTGAGTCACAAGTGTATTTTCTGTGATACGCCCAAAATAGTTCTGGGAAAGAAGAAGAAAACAAGACTTACTCAGAAACCCAATACACAAGATAAGAAATATCAATGGATATTCTTACAACAGGCAACTAACTGCAGGGCTCAGATTTTAAACTTTCTGTCCAGTTGCTAATCTGCGCATTCCACTTGGGGTTTAGAAATCCGTCCTTATGTCCATTGTATACGGCACTGAAGCCGGGGGAATTACGTGGCCCCTCCCCTGGTGTCTGGAGTTTGGGTTGTTGTTTCTGCACAGATGGAGCTATGAGAAGGAGAGAAGTTGAGTGGCAGGAGAGGATAGGTCTGGCTCCCAAGCATATACCCGGCTAAACAGAGACAACAAATCAAGGCCAGCTGCCTTCAAACCACATTGGCTTGTTTACTTCTGGAACATTTTTGCAATGACTATTCATCATCTTTACTTTGGATTCTTATTGGTTGATTTTCTTTTTTTCCTAGAGAGTCATGGAAGCCACTCTCAAGGTAGATGAAAAGGTTTCCTACCATTTTACAAGTGGATCAAATGCAGGTTTACAGAGGAAGCTTTGCATGTCTAAATGAGGAGCCTGGCAGAGCCTGAAAGACCTAGGTTCACTTTCTAGCCCCACCCAGTCTTAGTTCCAGTTTTCTCATCTGTAAAAGGGAGATGACAGAGTATGTGGCTCATGTAGCTGTGGTGGTGAATGAAACTGCGTGGAAATCATCTAGGGTGACTTCTGCCCCACAGTGGGCACTCGGCTCACTACAGCTGTTTGCTGTCGCTTTTATTATTCCAAAGCCTGGTTGAGGTGAACCTCAGCATTCACTGGTAAAATGGCCCCACTCTCAAGACCTGGCAGAGGCTGATGTGGCCCCTTAACAGCTCCAGCCCTCCTGGGCAAATCCAAGTCCTAACTAGCACACCTCAAGTCCAGCTGCAATCACTGTGGTTATTATCCTCGCTCGGCTGCTCCGTGGTGAATCCTGAGACAGGAAGTCTGTATTTTCTTGGAACTGAAAGTAGAGCAGCCCTCCTTCCACAGCAGCACAAGCCCTGCTCCTGCAGAAACTGAAAAATTCTGTTTAGAGGCTGCATGCCGAAATGCCGCACCAAACAACAGCAACAGCTCCACCTACTCACTTGATCTGGCTTCCTAATAATATCTTTGGATGAAGGTGGGGGATAAGTGGAGAAGCGCTGAATCGCTTGTTTGATTCTCACAGAGACTGTAGCAAGGCAGGGCAAGGTCCAACTGAATACACTCAGATTCTCCTATTTCCCATTGTTTTCCATTAAAAGAAAAAAGGTATAGGTCATTTTATAGTGGGAATAAACAACATGCCACAGTAAGCATTTCACGTATTTGTTCATGAATCAGGGAAGTTGCTTCCTGTGCATGTCATTGTCTAAACTGAGTGTCCCTGGAATGACAAGAAAAGTAGTGTTCAGGGATTGGGGCTTGGGGCTTGGCTCACATTTGTCTTCTCTCCATTCACAGCTATTTCTTTTAGAAGAGATGAGAGAGAGAAAGTATGATGGATATGCTCGAGTGATACAGAAATCATGGAGGAAATTTGTGGCCCGGAAGAAATATGTTCAAATGAGAGAAGAAGGTATTTTAGCAGTTTTGTTTCATTCATTTTAACAAATCTGAAGAGTAAATTTGAGCTTAAGTGAAGTTCTAAGTTCCATTTTATTTTGCATATAATGTCATGCTACAAATATTGCATCATTTAGAGTTTATTTGTATATTTTCACAGTATTTTCCTCCTTTTTCTGACTGACTTATCCTTCTTCCATCTTAACCCTCTTGGGAATCGTAGCCTCAGACATCTTACTGAACAAGAAGGAGAGAAGAAGAAACAGTATTAACAGGAACTTTATAGGGGATTACATTGGGATGGAGGAGCACCCAGAGCTCCAGCAGTTCGTGGGCAAGAGGGAGAAGATTGATTTTGCAGACACAGTCACCAAGTACGACAGGAGGTTCAAGGTACGTGCTGACTGCCCGCCTCTGAGATCACCAGATTCCTTACTTTTTTAAAAAAATAACTTGTTATTTTGCTTTTGTTGTTACCAAAGCAGAACATGTTCATTGTAGAAAAATTTAGAAAAAATATAAACCGAAAGAAAAATCAGTACCTATGCCCAGAAACAATCACTGTTAACATTCTGTGTATATCCATATCTTTCAGAATGTTTTTATGAAAACATACATTTGTGTATTTAGTTTTACAAAAACTGAGATACATATTGCATGCTGTTTTATGTCCTGAGGTAGTTTTTTATTTGTTTGTTTGTTTAAATAATGCCAGGGAGAATTTTCAATAGTAATACAGGGAACAATGTAAGTTATTTTACATGGCTGCATAGTATTCCATTTTACAGATGCCTTATTATTTTTAACCAATTTCTCATGAATCTATTTTTAGTGAGTTTTTCTTTTTTACTATCATAACTTCAATGAGCATCTTTTCACACATCTTTGTATATCTATCTCTCCAAATATTTTTAGAAGAAATTGATAGGAGTGAAATCGTTGAATCAAAGGATTGAGAATATCAAGTAATATTGCAGAGTATCCTCACCCGTTTTCCCAAAGTGGCTGATAAGTAAGGCTTCTCTAGCCACAGGAGGAACAGCTGATTTTTCACCTCCTCCCTTAGATACCTTTTGATAAAGTATTGGTCCTAATAGACAAATTTGAAGTTTCAGAAGCTCATGGACCCATTAAGAGCTTTTGGTATTTTGGCAGGGATGGGGAGGTCAAAAAAAAAAAAAATGTAATGAAGTAAACAACAGAAGCACGATGTTATTTTCCTAAAACCAAACCATTTCTTGCAACCTGTGCATGGCCCCAGTTGCTGTGACGGCAGCTCTGGGTTCACACGGGTCCTTAGCTCTTGCAGCGGTACTCGTTATAAAGTGGTTACCCACAAATTCCCGAGTAGATTTATATTAGATTATTGAGAATTATCATTCAAATGACAATATGTCAGTATTTTAATAAGAAAATTTTATGAACTCCCAAGAAAACACATGCAGACACCGCCGCCTGTTGAGAAACACGCTGTAGTGCATCCTTGGTAAGCTCGCCACAGCTGTTGGTGACTTCCCCTTTACACCTGCTGTCCTGATGCATCAGGTGACTCCATGTGAGTTTGCCAGTTTTTAAGTCAAAAAGGGTGAAGTCATTTTTTACATGTCATCTTAATAATCACAAATAATGCTATCTTTTCCCGTCATGGGCCCGGTCATGTGATGAAAGGAACAGCCGTCCCAACAGTAGTGAAGATTGACTGTCCAAGGCCGCTTCCCACTGTCCTGGTAACAGCGGTCCACCGTGTGAATGGTTGTCATCACATTGACCGTGTCTGTCCACCTTTTTTTGAGACGGAGTCTTGCTCCGTCACCCAGGCTGGAGTGCAATGGCGCAACCTCGGCTCACTGCAACCTCCACCTCCCAGGTTAAAATGATTCTCCTGCCTCAGCCTCCCAAGTAGCTGGGATTACAGGCACCCACCCCCACACCCAGCTAATTTTTGTATTTTCAGTAGAGACGGGGTTTCACCATGTTGGTCAGGCTGGTCTCGAACTCCTGATCTCAGGTGATCCACCCGCCTCGGCCTCCCAAAGTGCTGGGATTACAGGTGTGAGCCACCGTGCCTGGCCTGTCCAGCTTCTTAAAGCTCTTCTCCTTACAGGGTGTAAAGCGAGACCTGCTTCTTACCCCAAAGTGCTTGTACTTAATCGGACGAGAAAAGGTCAAACAGGGTCCAGACAAGGGCCTGGTGAAAGAAGTCCTGAAGCGGAAAATCGAGATAGAACGGATCTTGTCTGTGTCCCTCAGGTGAGTGACTGGAGGCGCAGAGGCAGGACTGCCCCATCTCACCTCAGCATCACCATCCGCTGTTCCAGACAGCCAGGAGGAAGGCCGGGCGGGGCTCGCCTGCGGTCAGAATCATGATCAAGAGAATGGAATTTTCCTTGGTCCCAAAGGGAAGACTCCCTAGTCTCAGCGAGTCTTGATATGTCAGGAAGAAGGTACCAAGAACAGGTTGCCTCTGGACAGCTCCCCTAATCAAGGGGACCCAGATCTATTGTAACCATAACATGTTAGAAATGAACCCAGTATATGGAGCACCTCAGAGAAGAATTTCTCTTGTTGCAGTGGAGCCAAGGGTTCAGAGCTCTGTCCCCCAACCCCCCTCACCCAGGTTGGAAGCCTCACCCATTTCCCTGAGCAGAGGGTCCTGGAAGGGAAGTTTCTTTGGGACTTCCTTAGGGAGTGCACGTTGGTCTCCATTCTCTGTAGTCCTGGAGTCATCGCGAGATGCTCTCTTTGCTCCAGTTCTCAGGCAGTGGGGAGTGGTGTTTGCTTCCGCAAGGCCTCAGGCAGGGCCCTTGCTCTTCTCGGCAGCACCTTGGCTTCCTTTCGGCAGAAGGGCTCCTCTGTCAGCTGTCAGAGCATCTCCTCCGTCACTGGGACCTAGGCTAGGAGTTCTTAGCATGGGAGGTTTTCCCATGCTAAGAAGTCCTCCCATGCTAAGAACTCCTAGACTAGGAGTCATCCCATGCTAAGTCTTCCCAAAGTCCTCCCATGGTAAGAACTCCTAGACTAAGTTCCGCTGACAGAGGAAATCCTCGCAATCCATGAAAGCTAAGAATGGAAGAAAGGCCTCCTCGAGCCCCATAGCTTCCTCCAAGAATCATGTCCCTGGGCCTCTGAGGCTAACACTACTTTAGTCAGGAAAAGCTTTGGGTCTTTGCATTAGAGATGTTCTGCTCTCACATGAACATGGAATTGGGACGCCTCTCAAACTCTTACTCCACACAGAAGACAAAACTGCTGCGCTCAGGAAAAAGCAGGGGTTTGATGTGCTCAGGCGTCTGACCTACCGAGCTGGAAATCCTAGCTCCAGTCTGATAATCCAAAGCAGATTTCTCGTTGCGTCTATTCTTGCCTGTGTCTCTGTGGTTTCTGATTCTATCTGTTCCTAATTTCCCTGGATACAGGGCCAGGCGGTGGAGGGCAGTTAAGTATGTCAAACATGCCAACTCAGGATGTGGTAAAGTTGCTAAGCAGATGAGTCCACAGTGTCCATTTTGCAGCCCCTCCTCAGGTAGGTTTCAAGGCCATTGGTTTTTTAAAAAAAAGCTCTAGGCGCTGACTGGTTTTCAGAAGGTCTTCCTGAACATTCAGCTCACTGGCTGGGTCCCAAGCTGAGCGGGGCAGTGCCTGCTGGCCACACTCTTCCTAGCTAGCTGGGCCCTGAGGTTGCCCTGGGAACCCAACAGGAAGCTCCTTGCTTGTCATCGCATGGGGACCTGCCATGCCTGGACTAAGCCAGGTTGGCCACAACGTGCTTGGCAGGCACCCTAGGTGAAGGTCAGGGAACCACAGCTCTAGGGCACGTGTAGTCACTGTGCTGAGAGTGACTTTCTGTGTTATTGCCCGGGTCTGTCTTCAGTCCCTCAGACCCCTGGTGGAGAGCTCATGACTGGGACCATAAATTATCCTCATCGAGCTACGTTTATGTGGTTCTTTTGTTTTGTTTTGTTTTGTTTAGACAGAGTCTCGCTCTGTCACCCAGGCTGGAGTGCAGTGGCGCGATCTCAGCTCACTGCAACTTCTGCCTCCTGGGTCCAAGTGATTCTCCTGCCTCAGGCTCCAGAGTATCTGGGATTACAGGCGTTGGCCACCACCCCTGGCTAATGTTTGTATTTTTAGTAGAGACAAGGTTTCACCATGTTGGCCAGGCTAGTCTCGAACTCCTGACTTCAAGCGATCCACCCACCTTGGCCTCCCCAAGTGCTGGGATTAGAGATGTGAGCCACCGTGCCTGGCCTTGAGCTACACTTGTATCAAGCACTTTGACACTTACTATCTTATCGGTAAGTCCTTGAGAGGGTCATCAAGCAGGGACTGTAGGGACTGTTCACACTCAAATTTCTTCCTTTTATTTTGTTTTTTGTTTGTTGTCTTCTTTTACAGCCTCTGGGGATATAATCTCTTACGGTAACACCAGCTGCTTTTTCTTCTTCCTCTTCAGTATTCATCATCTGGAAGGTTCCTTTCTTGTGGTCTTTCCTTTTTAGAGGCTGTAGTAAAATGAGGTACTTAGCCTAAAAGTTTTTCTGATTCTAAGGAAAATAAAAGAAAGTGTGAGTCATTTGAACTTGTGATGTCTGCGTATTGCAGTCACTGAACCTCACACTTGCCAAGATGAGTAACAGTGTTCCCTCATTTCTTTATACTTGAGTTAGGCCAGTAATCAGAACCAAGTTAGGAAAGCAACCAGAGGGTGATGTGTGTGCAGAATCGAACCCAGAGTGGAAATTAATTCTGGTACCAGACTACTGAACGTGCGTGTGTGTTCTCAAAATACTTCAGTACTGGCATAGAGAAGGATTTTAACAGTTGTCTTGTACTTCAGGAAAAAAGCCGCAACATCTGTATGTGTTTTTCCGTATTTCTGAGATTGACTAGTTGACTATTGGCTGGAATGATATCAACATATGGCCTCCTAGTTACGATTTATCCAAGTATCCTATAAGCTTGATCTTAGCCCATCTCTAACTCTTATAACTAATGTCAATGCACAGTGGGCCTACATCTCCCTATTCAAACCAACCAACCATTTAGTAGAAGTTATGATACAAGGGAAATGTGAGCATGACTAAATATTTGGTCTGAATAATTTATTGTTTATTTCTGTAGGTGTGATAACGGTTTTGTGGTTAATTTTATATAAAGAGACGTTATCTTTTAATGATATATACTGAAACATTTGAGGATAAAATGAAGGCCGAGCGCAGCGACCCATGCCTGTAATCCCAGCACTTTGGGAGACCAAGGCAGGAGGATCACTTGACCCCAGGAGGTTTGGGACCCACCTGGGCAACATAGTAAGACCCCATCTCTACAAAAAATGTAAAAATTAGCCAGGAGTGGCGGTACATGCCCGTGGTCCCAGCTACTCGGGAAGCTGAGGTGGGAGGATTGCTTGAGCCCAGCGGGTCAAGACTGCAATGAGTCATGATCACACCACTGCACTCCAGCCTGGGCAACAGAGTGAGACCCTGTCTCAAGTAAAAATAATATCATAGTCTTTACTTTGGTTTAAAATAACCTGGAAGTAATTTTAAAGTGGAAGCGGAGAGAGTGACGTTGTAGATAATTGTGATTATCCATGGATTGGTGCTTGAAATCTGACATGTGGTTCATTCTACTATACTACTTTTTATTTTTTCGAGACAGGGTCTCACTTTGGCACCCAGGCTGGAGTGCAGTGGCACAATCTCGGCTCACTGCAGCCTTGACCTCCAGGTTCAAGCGACCCTCCCACCTCAGTCTTCTAAGTAGCTGAAACTTCAGGCAGGTACCACCACTCCCGGCTAATTTTTGTATTTTTTGTAGAGACAGGGTTTCCCCATGTTACCCAGGCTGGTCTCCAACTCCTGGGCTCACAGAATCTACCCACCTCAGCCTCCCAAAGTGCTAGGATTACAGGCATGAGCCACTGTGCCCGGCCCTACTATCCTACTTGTTTACAATTTAGAATTTTCTATAATAAAATGTTTTTCTAATCCTCCAGTAGGCATTAAATTTTTAGAAGTCTTTATCTTTTCTAAACATACTGATATATGTCTAGTTGAATTACGGTTAACATTTTTTTTGAAGCTTTCATTTACAAGAAAGAATAGGATCACAACAGGTAGAAATAGGGCCAATAGCTCAGAGAGATTTTAAGACTGTAGTTTGTCAAAGGGACTCCAGGATAATTTGATCAGGAAAAATCCTTATTTAAATAAATTTAGGCTGGGTGCGGTGGCTCATACCTGTAATCCCAGCACTTTGGGAGGCTGAGGCGGGCCGATCGCTTGAGGTCAGGAGTTCAAGATCAGCCTGGCCAACATGGCAAAACCCCCTCTCTACTAAAAATACAAAAAAATTAGTTGGGCGTGGTGGCGGGCGCCTGTAATCCCAGCTACTTAGGAGGCTGAGGCAGGAGAATCGCTTGAGCCTGGGGGCAGAGGGTGCAGTGAGCTGAGATCACACCACTGCACTCCAGCCTAGGCAACAGAGCGAGACTCTGTCTCAAAAAAAATAAATAAAAATTAAAGTGAAACACTGATGCTTGCATTTCTGGCTTCATTGGAGACTTGGGAAGAGTGTCAGGAGGTCACATACCAACACAGAGTTGAGACACAGGATTTCTGAGGCTTGTGGTGGCTGCTGACAGAAGGCCATGCCTGGGTTTTTGAAGGATCCTCCCAGAGCTGCTTCTTGTTCAACTACTGACCTGGCCCCAGTCTTATTTGAAAAACAAGGAAACTTATTTGAAAAACTCAATTCTACTCATTACCACAGGTGTAATGACCCATGTTCTTGGCTTTGCTATTGTAGGTGTTGAGTTCGGGGCCATGGAAGCTCTTATTTGGGGCCCTCTGATGAGGCTTCTCGTTTTTCTTCTCATTCTGGTAGCTGACCACAAGAAGGATGAGACCAAAAGTTGTGTGGCTGGCTGTCTGGGTTAACAGATTTCCCAGTGCTTGTCTCCAATGGGAAAAACAACCCGTAAGACGGTGCTTTAGACAAAGGCTGCAGCTCCCTGGTCACAACATTCTTGCCCAGAATGTTTCCTTGCCGGAATCCCCTAACTTTCTGGCAGTAAAAACAGCCCACCTCACTGCCTGTCCTGCTGACCTGAAGCATTACTGGCATCGTGGCTTGCTGGGGCCTGTAAGCACTGGGAACCTGGAAGTTGTCAGCATCATGGGATTGAACACCTACCTGGTGCTGAGCCCTGGTTTTCGAAGGTGGATGAGGCACAGTCACTGCCTCGGGAAGCTCCTCTCATTCTGGAAGGGGGAACAGACAGCTGAGTAAACATGTGCCTTACTACAAGTGTTCCCAGCGTGATTTAAAGGATACTCCTGGGACTCAAAAGAGGAGAGTGGGTCTTTGCACCTGCGGGTCAGGTGAAGCTTCTTTGAGCCGGACACATCACTGCTGAGGCCTGCACCTGCGTCCAGGCTTTCTCAGAGAAATGAAGAAGGTTCTGAAACTGGTGCCCCTGGTTTCTCTGAGTGGTAGAATTCTGGGCAAGGTTTATTTTCTTCTTGATTCGCCTCCATATCTTCCAGTTTACTAAAAGCAGCATATTTCATAAGCAGGAAAGACTTTTGTAAAAGCTTAAATAAAGGCAGGGCTATCCTTGGAAATTGCCTTTTCAGCTTAAAAAAAAAACCACAAACTCCTTCAGGACTTTCCTTGGTGTTTTGTAACTACATTTCTGTGAAAAGATATATTGGTTAAGAGAGTAAAACAAGATTTTCTAGTGTTGTCAGCAATACAACAGTAAGCCACAAAGACGGAGGAAAAAAAAAAACAAGGGCAGATCCAAACCAGAGACTAGGAAGAGGTCTTCCAACACAGGGTACAGCGTCAAACATCTGTAAGGAATTGCAGCATAGGAATAAGTCAGGGGTGAAGTCCAAAGATAAGTCTGACTTTTTAGAATAAATAAACACAAACGCTTTGTTTTCAGGTCCAGGAGCATGGGCTGAGGAGAGCAGAATGAGCTGAGACCCTGGCCTGGGGGAAGCTGGTCTGCCTGGCTCCAATGCCTGGATCACTGAAGGGAGGGGACTTTGGATTTGATGGTTAAAGTCAAAGTGTCCAAACACATCTCTTCTCATTTCTAGATTCATGCTGATAATTGACCTGGAAGTTTTGGCCTGCTTGCTTTTTTCGTTATGATAATAATGAAACTCCTAATAAATCTAAGCACATTAAACCAGTCAAGGTGACTTGTGCTGGGCTCATTTAGCCCTGTTGAATAATCACCATCCTGCCACAGTTCAGTCAGGCAAGCAGGCATGATCAGACATGCCAGAGAGAGCTTTGAGCAAACCACCAAAACAGGGAGGAGTTTGATTCCCCACCCCAGAGGCCAAAAAGTGGAGGTTCTTGTTTCACTCTGGTCTATTGCATGCGCTCTACCTATTGCAGCCGTGTTCTTTCACCTGGGCTAGGGTGCTAGGAGGCTTAGACTTTATTAATTCAAAATGACTTGGAAGAGCTCTTTTGAGCAGCTTTTCATAAGTGCTTTTTGGAGTTTTGGATTGCTGGCTGTCCCTTTAAAGGGAGGGAGGAGGTGCTTGTTCCCAGGCACTGTAGAACTGGCATGTTGGCCCTGAATTGCCTTTGCATGCACTGTTGACTGATGGAGATGAAAACTGTCTGTTGTTTAAACCACTGGTTGTCAAGGTTTATCCTTGATCCCAGCTATCACAGGAGTGGGCAAGAAGCATGGCTATGATATGGGGATGTCTGAAAACAAACATCTGGGGTAATGATAATGACCAAGTGCTCCTCCCAAATGGTCATTATTTGGTAAACCAAATAAACCACGGTAAAGTGTTCTGACTTCACATCCAAGGGAAAGTTTGGCTGCTCTTCAGGAAGCTGGCCATGAAAGGGCCAAGCTCCTTTCCCCTGACGCTGGCCTCTTGCTTCCAGTGAACTCCATGCACCGCCCCACCCCACCCCCATGGTTTGTGCATGCTGCCATTCTATGCCTTCCTATTCAATTGTGCTGCAGTTCCTTCAACCTCTTTTTCTCCTGTGGATTACCAAGCTCCTTTCCCGTAGGAGGACTGAAAGTGCATAATTTGAAGAAAAAAAAAAAAAGAGAATTTAGTTTTTACAGTTCTAGAGACCGGGACGTCCGAGGTCAAGGTGCAGGCAGATCTGGTGTCTGCTGAAGGCCACTGTGTTCTTTATAGATGGCACCTCTTGTTGTGTCCTCACATGGGAGAAGGATAGAAAGGGCAAACCACTCCTGTAAGGTCACTAATCCAATTCGTGAGGACCCATTCCTTGTAACTTAATCACCTCCTTAAGGCCACACTTCTTAATACTAGCACATTGGTGAATAAGCTTCAACATCAGACCAAGGTAGAGGCTGTGGCTACAGCTACTGGCTCCATCAGCTCCGGGTCACTGGCTCCCTGTCTCAGCCCGGAGAGAAGGTTCCTGACAAGCCTGGGAGGGTCCACCAAGATTCTCTGTCCAAGGGAGCCCTGTGATCCCAACAAGGGCCCAGCCCCTACCTTGACCTGTGAATGGGGCTGAACAGGGATAGCACAGGAGTTTCCTTTTAAATGGGTCAGATTTTACATGGAAGAAGGATCCTGGGTCTCAAAGATTCTCTACAGCTCAGTCCTCTGTGTGGTCCCCTTGCCTCATCATCTGGCTTTGTCACAGCCTGGTAATCCCACTGGTGCAGTGACACCAGGAGCTCCGAGAGCAGAGCAGAGCTCGTGAGCCATGCTGCAGGGCTCTGAGTGTTCAAAGAACCGTGTCTGTGGCGCTTGGAGAGACTAAAATGTGACCATGGTCAATTCACTGAAGCAGGTTTGCCTAATTTGTTTCTAATGCCTGGGAAAATGCTTACAATCCCTAATGAAATCTCATTCTTCAAAGGGTGGTTTTCGGTATTTGGCAGTGGTACTTGGAGATACTCATAAACTGACATATTACAGCCTTTAGGGTGGTGGCCCCATTCACCTGAGTGATAAATCTAACAGGGAATGCAAATTCTCAATTACACACGTTGTCGCTTTCTACCAAGCCTAGCCAGGCCTGAAGATGGAACTTTTTCTCACCAACCTCCCCTGACCACCAGGCATTTCCTCAGCGCTGGGTCTGCCTCAGCGTCTCTCTGCTATCACCCTTTAGCTCCTAACACCTGCTCCCCTCCAGGCATAAATTTCTCCACAATCCCACCCTGTCCAAACATGTGCTTCCTACAAAGGTGTGTTCTCTCCTTGTCTGACAAAATTCATTAGCTTGAAGGTGATGATTTTTGCTTGTTTGCTGTTTGTCCATCTGACCTTTGCATCTCTGAACTTGGACGTGTCTGTACATTCTAGTAGCTCCTGGCTTGCAGTGTCCGCAGAGCACTGTTTGCCAGAAGGTTCTTAATAAGTACCTTGAAGTCCAGGACATTGGCTTCCCTCTTGATAACCGAGCTTATAATTCTTCAAGTTCAAATTTACTACAATAGCTACAACCATATCATAAATTATACTAATACTAACTTGGAACTTAAATGTAGAGTTATCCCTTTTCAGCTGCCTTCTATTCATAACGTTCTGGATTTTTATGGTCTTAAAAACACAAGTTGGATTTGAAAATGGATTTTTTAAAAATATGGGCTAAATTGTCCTTAAGTTCCTCATTTTAAACATCATGTGGAAAAAGTACTTTGATTATCCTTTTGTTGGGCTATAAACTTTCTTTGAAAGCAGATTTCAGCAATCTCATTATGTAATTCCATTGTAGTTGGTTTTTGTTTGAAAGATTATTACTATAGAAAGACTAAAATCTTAGCACTATCTTGCAGGATTTTTAAAATGGAAGAAAAAAAATAGAGTAAACAGAAGCACAGCTTTCACCAAGTGTGTCTGTCCAATCTCTTTACAGTACTATGCAGGATGACATTTTTATTCTCCATGAGCAAGAGTATGACAGTTTGCTTGAATCTGTCTTCAAAACTGAATTCCTAAGCCTCTTAGCAAAGCGTTACGAGGAGAAAACCCAGAAGCAACTACCTCTGAAATTCAGCAATACGTAAGTCCGGATCTGGGACCCAAACTTCTGCGTGTAGCTAAAAAGGGGCCTTGATCGCACCCCTGGGATTCAGGATGGGGCTGGGGGAGGCTTGCGAGCAGGAGAGTGGGGTCTGGCTGGCCCCAGTGGAGCCTTAGAGCCTGCAGAAGACAGTCTGGATAGCAGTCACAGACTTGGAAAAGGTTACTTTTGCATTTCTGTGAAATAATGACTTCATAGACTAGTGTATTTTATCATTTAGATAAAAATCTCCTAAAAGAGGCAGACAAAGGCAGATTTTTATGTCTCACCCAAAAATAGGGTTTTTAATTTAGCAAAGCAGACAGGAGTAGAATCAGGCTGGAAGCAGATGAAAGTGACAAAGGTGGGGGCATAAATTCCCCAAACCAATGCATAATAAAACCTATTTATTGGTAGGGCCTCTGGGGGCTTGACAAGGACTATAGGTGGCCAATGTGTTGTGTAGGTGGCTCACCTTCCCTTCTTTTTTTTTGAGATGGAGTCTCGTTCTGTTGCCCAGGCTGGACCTCTGCCTCCCATGTTCAAACAATTCTCCTGCCTCAGCCTCCTGAGTAGCTAGGATTACAGGTGCTCACCACCACACCTGGCTAATTTTTTGTATTTTTAGTAGATATAGGGTTTTACCATGTTGGCCAGGCTGATCTTGAACTCCCAACCTCAAGTCATCTGCCCACGTTGGCCTCCCAAAGTGCTGGTATCACAGGCTTGAGCCACCATGCCTGGCCTCACCTTCATTTCTTTTGGCAACATGACCTAATGGACCAGGTACTGGCATACTGTTGACCCTCTAATCTCAGATTTGCTGAGTAAGAGTTATTTAGCTAGTCTGGACAATATAGTAAGACCACATCTCTACAAAAAGTAAAAAAAAAAAAAAAAAAAATTAGCCGAGTATGGTGGTGCACGCCTGTAGTCCCAGCTACACGGGATACTTGAGCCCAGGAGGCAGAGATTGCAGTGAGCTGAGACTGCGCCACTACACGCCAGCCTGGGCAACAGAGCAAGACCCTGTCTAAAACACAGAAAGAAAGTTATTTAACTTTTCTTTTTAAATGTCCCCATCTATAAAATGGGAATATCCTCCATCTTTTCCCAGCTACAAGAATGAGGCCAAGACAAAGCCTTAATATCATGATGAGGGAAACTTATAATAGGCAGCTACTTAAAATTATGATTTTTCCTTCCTATGATATGAGAAAATATAAGTTAAAAGCAGAATAAGGATTGCATAATGCAGGCATGTGGGCAATACAGAAGCATTAAAACTGGCTGGGGAGTTTGGGAAGTGCAGGTAAATCCTGTCTTCTATTTGGATCTTGGTTGCTAGTGTGTCTTTTTCCCTCCCCGGGTGGGATGTCGTGGTGCAAGAACAGTACGGGACTAAACAAAGCCAGGTTCTGTGCTAAAGAGTCTTCAAGCTGGCCTGGGTCTGGCATCTGTCAGTCCTCCACAAGCACAGGAGCAGGGACAACAGCTGGAAGCACAATGACAGCACAGCGGTGTGACCTGGAAATTGTCTCTTTCCTCTGTCCCCTCAGCAGGTGCCCCTGAGGCCACCTGACAGAGTGGCACTGGCGCATTAGCGAGGTGTACCTCCCTCACCACCCGGTGTCTCATGGTACCGGGCCCCAGATGCTCCTGCTTCTGGCTCATTGTCATGCAGCGACAGTGCCACCCCATGGATGCGGTGCACATCCTCAGGGCCCTGCCCCGGTGTGGATTGTCCGGTCTTGCCTCATGTTTATGCTTTTCCAGCAGCAGAACTCCATGGCAGGATCTCTGAGCACCGTTTTCTCACTGCTTCCTTCGACCTGTTAACCCCAGTGTGCTTTTTGCAGGCTTGAACTGAAGTTGAAAAAGGAGAACTGGGGTCCCTGGAGTGCGGGGGGCTCCCGGCAAGTGCAGTTCCACCAAGGCTTTGGGGACCTGGCTGTACTCAAGCCCAGTAACAAAGTGCTGCAGGTCAGCATTGGACCTGGACTGCCCAAGAACTCCCGTAAGTGCTCCACGGGCCCTGCGGGCAGAACTGCCGCTGCTCACCCGAGTCTCCTGAGCGAATGCTGAAAACGTGTGCACAGATGTGGGGGCTGAGAATCAGTACACCTGCTGCTTCCTGGGGCTCAAGCTTTCTTCAGAATGGAACATTTCAAACTAAAGCAACAGCAAGGAAAATGAGCAGGTTAAAAGTTTCTGAGGGACTTAGTACTTATGTGTCAGTATACCTGGCATTACAATATTGTGATTAAAACAAATCAGAGTTCGTTAGCTTCAAATTTCCCCTCCCTTTCCAGTCAGATCTTGTCCACAATACCAACATCATCCTCTATGCCACCTTTAAAGAAATTGACTGGGCCAGGCGCAGTGGCTCACACCTATAATCCTGGCACTTTGGGAGGCCAAGGCCGGACGATCGCTTGAATCCAAGAGTTCTAGACCAGCGTGAGTAACATGGTAAAATCCTGTCTCCACACACAAAAATAAAAATACAACAATTAGCCAGCATGGTGGTGCACGCCTGTAGTCCCAGCCACTTGAGAGGCTGAGGTGGGACGATGGCTTACACCTGGGAGGTCAGGGCTGCAGTAGCCTGGGTGACAGAGCAAGACCTTGTCTCATTAAGAAAAAGAAGACACTTTGGGAGGCCGAGACAGGCGGATCACGAGGTCAGGAGATCGAGACCATCCTGGCTAACACGGTGAAACCCCGTCTCTACTAAAAAATACAAAAAAACTAGCTGGGCGAGGTGGCGGGCGCCTGTAGTCCCAGCTACTCGGGAGGCTGAGGCAGGAGAATGGCGTAAACCCGGGAGGCGGAGCTTGCAGCCAGCAGAGATCACGCCACTAAGAAATAAAACACCACACACATACACACACACACACACACATACACACACAGACACATGCACTACCTCAAACCCCAGTCTAACTCCTTCCCTGACCTTTGATTCTTTTTCTATTTATAATTGGTATTTATAACTTATATCTGTAGTACACAGCATAGAATAATATATGCTATGTATACTGTGATATTGTTCTAAAATTTGGCCTGTGTGTGTGATCACACACATGAAGATGCCATATGTAAAATAACTGTGTCTAGGCCAGGCACAGTGGCTCATGCCTGTAATCCCAGCACTTTGGGAGGCCGAGGCAGGTGGATCAGCTGAGGTCAGGAGTTCGAGACCAGCCTGACCAACACCCCGTCTCTATGAAATGCAAAAAACTAACAGGGTGTGGTGGCGTATGCCTGTAGTCCCAGCTCCTTGGGAGGCTGAGGCAGGAGAATTGCTTGAACCCAGGAGGCGGAGGTTGCAGTGAGCCAAGGTCACGCCACTGCACTCCAGCCTGAGCAATAAGAGCAAAACTCTACCTCAAAAATTAATTGATTAATTAATTAGCAATTTCTCAAATCCATCTGCAAAGGTACACCTTAACATGTTCTCTAACATATTAATACAATACCAATAATACAATACCAATAATACAACACGCATGGTGGTGCACGCCTGTAGTCCCAGCCACTTGAGAGGCTGAGGTGGGACGATGGCTTACACCTGGGAGGTCAGGGCTGCAGTAGCCTGGGTGACAGAGCAAGACCTTGTCTCATTAAGAAAAAGAAGA